GAGGCAGCAATACAGAAGTCCTTCCGGAGGAGAACATAGAAATTTGGCACTATTTACCCTTTACTGCCCCACTCCGTCGAGAAAGAGCTGGATTTCTATCAAATTTTTTCAAAGAAGACGAAACCGGCTAGAAACTTGCCTAGAGGGGTAATTTGACCCGAAGAACACGAATATTGCATCCACTCATCATGAAAACGCCTGGGACACTAGTTAGGGGCAAGTTTTCAGCAGGAACGGTGACCCAGCGATTTGGCGCAGGCGCCTGTAGCGCAAGCGCTAGGCATCTTCATGACAAATGGATGCAATATTCGTGTTCTACGGGTCAAATTACCCCTGTAGGCAAGTTTCTAGCCGGTTTAATCTTCCTTGAAAAAATTCGGTAGAAATCCAGCCCATTCTCGACAAGGTGGGGCAGTAAAGGGTTAATAGTGCCAAAGGCATTAGCAGAGCTTTTTACCGGCTTCAACCGAACGTAAGCATGGTCATCAGCATGGTCTCATCGTACACAATAAACAACTAAGCAATTTCATTGAATAACCCAGAGATTTCTTCAAATTCACCGGCCGCTATGACATATTCGAACTACAAGGTGTTTGTTTTTGTATGGCTCCATGGTTGTATGGTTCACGTCGTCTTCCCATTCCTATCATCTTCAACAAAAGCCTTTTTCTTGCTTTCGTGAAAGTCTGGATGAAAAAGGATTTTCATTTTGGACGAAAACAATGTGTTTATCGAGACGGTGGAAGCTTTCTGCAAAGAATACCTGAATCACTTACAGAGGCAATTGAATAATTTATAACACAACACCATACAGGACTCTAGTCAATGTTGACAAAAATACTTTCTGTAAATGTGATCTACAGAACGGGGATGAAGCTGAAGCAGCTTGTCATACCCTTTTACTAAGCCTGGTAGACAGTTGTACTGCCGAAGCACAGTCATGGTCAGACAAGAGAGAACAATTTCGGAAGTATCATTCATAGACCGAGCGACTGACCTTAAAGGCAGAGTTCCCGATAATTTCGAGGTACCCCTTTTTATTCGAAAAAATGGGGTATAGGTTGGGAATAGTTCATCGGTAGTGTAGAAATCGGGAGAATTTGGCGACTTCGAGAAAAATATGACTCCTCAAAAGTGGGGAAGGTGGAGGTAGGACGAGATTACCATGACGGAAATAACATGAAAGAGGTATCAGGACGAGATTTTAGTTGTTGCAATTGCGCAAAGGGCTGACTACATCAAACCAGAATTATCCAGAACTGCCTTTCATTGTTGCTATGGATCATGACAGGTCTTTGACAGTCACTTTGAAGTCCCTACATGGGACCCCTTGGGATCGATGCAGCCACTACAATACCGGTGGAACTCGTCCTAGGATACACGCGGTGCAATCTTTGATCCTTTATAACTTCCTAACTAGGCCGTTATCCGAACTAATAGCGCCAGATATGGTATACGAGGAGACGTCGGATCATCCCATAGGGAAATCTCAGAGACCATTTTCATCGTGAACTGTGCCTTTGAGAAGGCTCCACTACGTGAGGATGTTCTCCAAAGCGTGCTTTTTGGCCATAGCAATACAACCAAAAACATATCTCTTGATAAGGTTAGATTTATTACTCTAATTTAGATTTATCAGTATTTGGACCCTTCGCCGCTTCCACCTCCTTTTAAAACGCGACATTTTTCGAACTTTCCAAAGAGCCGACAAAAATCAAGAATTCGTGGTATAGACTTTTCCCCAATTGTAGCACGCAATTCGGAGAATTGATGGAATCCTTGAAAATTTTTAGCTCAGTTCAATTGTGGTCATTACTACGACTTTTCGATCTTTCCCCTTAGAGCAAGAAGTATAAGACCACTACGCAAGAAACGGAACTGATTCCGCTCTAGCAATACCGTTTGTTCATCATCGATCCCGACGATTAGAGTTTCCGACTCAGCAATCAAAGTTAATAAGGATCCAAATATTTGCAAAAGCCTAAAAAACATTTCCCTGCTCTCGTGAAATATCCTAGATGGGAAGGAAAATGAGTTTTTCTGGCCCTGTATTATTCTGTTTTTGGTTTAAGCCAAGCAGTCGACATCATACAAAATTGTAGGGATGCTCGAATGCGTATGAAGTCGACTACGTGGCCTAAACCAGAAACAGAAAATACAGGGCCAGAAAAACTCATCTAACCGGACCGATAGTCGGAAATCAGTCAATGTAAAGCTGGAGGCCCCCATTCTCCTTGTCTGGTCTGGTGCGAATTCTGGCACCATAGAAGAGTGGTGGGCCTTGCGGACTGGTATCTAAGGTTTGATCTCTTGGCTATTCTGGCGATGCCGCGCAACTTGACACTACGCTACCTCACCTTTGCATTGCAAAATGACTCGCTAACGGAGCCGTATCGGATTGAACGTGAGAAATGTGGACCAATATAAGTTCAAGATTTTGTTTATGATTGAAATAATTTTGTGCCGTACGAGGTTGTTAGGTGGAACAGTTCATTAGTCAACGGCCTAACGTTTCGACGCAATCGTCTTCTTNAGAGGCCTAAATGCAACTCGAGATGATTTGCACAATATCCAAGAAGCGCGTTATCTTCCCTGGCAGATGTGACGACAAATTACAAGATTTTGTACATCAACCGCTAGAAGACTTGAAAGGTCCATCACTTCGAGGTCCTGTGTGAAACGAACGCCTGAAGACCAGATAAGATGGGAATTTGGCTTTTCATCGTTTTATCCATACATTTAACAGTGTCCTGTTTTCGCACAACATTGTAATTCAGACAGGCGATATGCACGAAAAAGACTATACAACTGAATAATAGAAAGAAACACTGGAGATCCTAGTATAGGAGTGGGTCAATCAAATGACGGAAAAGGAGAAAAACGCAATTACAATGAGATCCACACAACAGATTGAAGGGGGGAGATGAGAGAAGAAATCTAGGAAATATATATTTATATAAATATATTATATATTTTGTGTAAAGCTCGTGGAATTTGTGGTGATGAATGGCACAATGTATAATAATATGGGGACATGACAGGAAGAATAAAAGTAATAGAAACGACGAAACATTTGACTTCAAAACGACCCAAATGGGGGCGACCAGAATGGGCGGCAGAGGTGTCACCATAGGGTGCACTTCTGTTTAGGATTCATCGGCGATCCCACAGGACATGAGAAAGCATTTGAGAAGTCGTCCGAATTCTGTAACGCTCCCATCACTCTGAAAATGTAGACGATTAATGGGAATGGACCATCACAGATATTTCTAACACGGATTATTTGTTTTTGATTTTTTTATTTACATAATGCGCTTCACTTTTCACTGAATTTCATGGAAACATAGGTGACTCTAAGTATTTAACAAATCCCGCCTCTAGAACTGACCACGCCCCCAAGCACTGGTCTAATGGATAAGGCTACTGCTAGTCAGAAGTGCAAGTCTCCGCCTTCGTCACGAGGGTCGTAGAGAAAGTAAAAGAGGGAATGAGTTACGTCAGGGCTTGTTCATGTAGGAAAATCCTCCACTGTCGTAGAGGTGGTTATGATTAGAGGCACAGTTCACGATAACTCAATGGGCGGGAACGTCAATGACTTTCCCTCCTCCCATTTCATTTTTCATCATAATCTGGATTCCCAAAATTATCATGAACTGTGCCTTTGATGGAACTATACAAATGGGAGGTCAGTTGTCGTACAGGCCAGTATTTCCGGCCACTTAGACACTCTGGTACAAGGGTGTCTGACTTTAAAGTGTATCTGAGTTGGATACGATTCCGTGGTTGTCGATGATCACGATTTTTCAGAGTTCTCTACGTGAGGGTGCTTTTTATTTTCACCTTTAATTGGATTCTGCGACTCCACAAGTAATTTTTGCATTTTCCAAATGAAACTAATTTACAAGAGTTTTTCTGAAACAACGTTCCATCAGCTTTCCTAAGAGCAATTGAATTGCATCACACAAGTAATGAGAATGAAGCACTTTATCTCCATTTTTCGAACATGGT